TCCGCCGGACATCACGTCAGAATCGGCAGCGATATATGGATACCTTTATACGGACTTTTGTTGAAAATAATGTTAGATGTTTTAAATGTATAACCACAATTTTATTTAAAGAAGAAAAATAAAAAATAAAGGCGTATTCGAATGTAGAGAACCAGTAATATTTATGCAACCGGAAAAGTATATAAACTTGGGGCAAGAACGCATTTAACAATGACGTCGTTTATTGTTTACACTAAAAAAAGAGCACGAAACTGATGACGTCATCTTCCGAGTTTAGAATAAAAAGAAATGAACTATTTCATTCAAATATGATTTAGAGCTATGTACGCTATGAAATGTATACAGTACGATTTTCTCGGCCTAAACTTAAAAAAATTATTTTATCTATTTGGATTCTAGATCTAGAGATTCTAGATCTAGATATTGATCTAGATCTAGATATTCTAGATCATCTAGATCTAGAGATTCTAGATCATCTAGATCTAGAGATTCTAGATCATATAGATCTAGAGATTCTAGATCATATAGATCTAGAGATTCTAGATCTAGATGATCTATAAAGCTAAGTTGTCGGGTGCCCAATAGGGCACTTTCCGGCGCCGCAGGCGCTTCAAATTTGGCAGGATCTTGCCTTGGGGCGACAGAACACGGGGGCCAGTTGGCCGAAAAGTCTACGATGAGGGGGTCAAAACTAACCTCGACTGACCGGCGCCTTATATGGGCGAATTAATTAAGCATTCAAATTCTCAATGTTTTCGAAAGCCTAAGCGAAGCTGGGCAGCATGACTAGTTTATAATATAAGCGGCTAGGTAGTGTGTCAGTCCTTCCGTCATCGCTATAGATTTTTGAACCATAAAAGTTAGCATCGCACCATGTAGTGCTTTGCAGTGCATCGCGTTGTCTTATTATATGTGATAGAGTAGGGTTTGTTTATATAACGACATAATGCTATTTTATAATTTCCACTGTTTGTACAATTTTGCATATCGTAAAGAGAATATTAAATACACGCACATTGCTAAAACATATTAAAAGGATCAACGTCAAATATCGTTTTCGTAAATATTCCTAGAAAAAGTGGATACATTTTAATAACATAATAACTGTAGGTTAGAAAAATCTAATTAAACTGTTTAGTAATTTTGCCAAGGGAGGTAATTTAAAAATAAATTGAACTCACGCTAAAAATGTGAATGCAAAATCTGCAAGACGGAATAATTGTTGGAATAATATAATTAGCAAAATGTGAATGCAAATTATGCAGACGTGTAAGAGTACATTATTGTTGGAATATTATAATTAGCATTGATTGCTAAAATGCTATCGTTTATTTATTTTATTCACTGAATAAATTAAGTCATCACGTTCATTAGGTGCGCAATGGTTTTAGTCATGAAACTTTATTGTAAATTTTTAAAAGTACTGATAAAAATGCATGAATTTATAAAGTGCATAATGGTCGGTAAAACACGGATATTCTAAACGAGAAAAATGGCCCGTTGAGGAAGGATACAACGGGCGCTAGGTTGAAAGTGCTGTCTATTTTCTCGGTACTTTAATTTATACAAAATATAGTCATAGGCATATCCCTAAACCATGCACCTAATCTCATTCATAACAAAAGTCGCATTTAGAGTTTCTTTCAGGCAACTCTACTTGGGAGGAGGGGGCTTGGCCCCCCTCCCACACCCCTCCCCCCACACACACACTCCAAAACATGTCAACCGTCCCATTCAACGAAATATAATTATATACTTTTTCCAGTGTCCGCACCCTCCCAGAAAATTCTACCCCCGCCCCCGAAAATTTCAAGTACCCCCACCCCTCTCCGGGGAGGAAAAAGTCTGAAAGAAACACTGGTCACATTTGTAGATCATACAAACTAAAGAAAGAATCTGGGCGGGGCTTCGCCCCTACCTGAAGAGATGCTTGAAAAAAAAACTGCACGCTAAACACTTATAAGATTAGAAAAATTTCCCTCCTCCGGGGAGGAAAAAGTCTAAAAGAAACACTGGTGTCGCGCTTAGCCACTACCCGAAGAATTGCATTAAAGAAATTGCAAGAAAACAACTTTTTAGATTAGACACATTAATTCGGCGGTAATTTTATTATAGAGTATCGATGAAGAAATTTCTTTTGCGTTGGGGAGGGGGGGGGGGGCTTAGACGTTCTTACGCGGGGATGGGGCTTCGCCCCTACCCGAAGAATTGTATGAAAGAAACTCTTCACCCAAACCACTTAGATTAGACAAAATTGCCTTTTTATTCAATGTTTACTCGAGAATCAATGACGTCATATTACTGTGTGCACTCTCCGGCTTGATATTATTTTCTACTTTATGACGTCATATTTCGTTTTCGTTTAACTATGCATGTTTTTAAATTGCTTGTGTTTTCTCTAGAGCGTTCTTGTCAGATACATAGATAGAAAGATACATAGATAGATACATAGATAGATAGATAGATAGATAGATAGATAGATAGATAGATAGATAGATAGATAGATAGATAGATAGATAGATAGATAGATAGATAGATAGATAGATAGATAGATAGATAGATAGATAGATAGATAGATAGATAGATAGATAGATAGATAGATAGATAGATAGATAGATAGATAGATAGATAGATAGATAGATAGATAGATAGATAGATAGATAGATAGATAGATAGATAGATAGATGGATAGATAGATAGATAGACAGACAGACAGCGAAACTATTATTATAGATAACGAGAAAAATGGCCCGTTGAGGAAGGATACAACGGGCGATAGGTTGATAGTGCTGTCTATTTTCTCGGTACTTTAATTTATACAAAATATAGTCATAGGCATATCCCTAAACCATGCACCTAATCTCATTCATGACAAAAGTCGCATTTAGAGTTTCTTTCAGGCAACTCTACTTGGGAGGAGGGGGCTCCTCCCCCCTCCCCCCCCCCCCCCACAGACACACCCCAAAACATGTCTACCGTCCCATTCAACGAAATATAATTATATACTTTTTCCAGTGTCCGCACCCTCCCAGAAAATTCTACCCCCGCCCCCGAAAATTTCAAGTACCCCCACCCCTCTCCGGGGAGGAAAAAGCTGAAAGAAACACTGGTGTCGCGCTTAGCACTACCCGAAGAATTGCATTAAAGAAATTGCAAGAAAACCACTTTTTAGATTAGACACATTAATTAGGCGGTAATTTTATTATAGAGTATCGATGAAGAAATTTCTTTTGAGTTGGGGAGGGGGGGGGGCTCAGACGTTCTTACGCCCCTACCCGAAGAATTGTATGAAAGAAACTCTTCACGCAAACCATTTAGATTAGACAAAATTGCCTTTTTATTCAATGTTTACTCGAGAATCAATGACGTCATATTATTAGATACTTTTAAATAATTGCGATTTCACATTTTTGGGCCACGACGGCGAGCAACCAATCGCCTTATAGGTAGCGCCGGCCCTGGTAATCCCCCCCCTGTGGTCAAACCCCCGTTGAGGCCAAAGCCCCGCTGTAGTCAAACCCTCTATGGTCAAACCCCCTATGGTCAAACCCCCCTATGGTCAAAGCACCTGTGGACAAAGCGCCTATGACCCTTTGATCTAGTTCCTTCCACCTGACATGGTTGGATTGTCTAAGGTTTGGCAAGCCCAATAATACTTTCTATCGAAAAATATTCTTTAATTTTCGCATACTATATTAGTAATCTTAATTTTAAAAATGTTAAGTGCAATATGATAAATATATACGGCCAAAATTTCTTACAATTATTATAAAGGCCTATAAATAATATTAAACATAGTAAACAAAACCATATAACAGTCATGTTCAGATCAACTAAAATCATCGAATACACTATTAAAATTTTGCTGTGAGATATTTTGTCTGATATATTTTGTCTGAGATCAATTGTCCATGGTATCATTTGTCCAGATATATTTTGCCCTGGTATCTTTTGTCCGTGAGATCATTTGGGCGTGGGATGGTGTCTATAGAATAAAGATAATCCAATCGCAGCTATAGTAATCTTTTTACATAACAACCATCAAGTTAAAAATGCAAGAAAATTATATTTTTTAACTATACATTTTTTTAATTATGGTCGCCTAAAGGGCTTGCCCCCCCCCCCCCCCCGCATTGCGGGGTCTGGCGGCACTGTAGTTCCGCCCCTGGTTGCATTACATAAGAGTGTTGGATAAGCTAACTCTAAAGAATGTTGATGAAGGGGTCCCACTGGCAGGTGTCATATTCAATGAGACCTCTTTGCCGGGAGAATTAGTCTCTACAGAAACGGTATTGTCAGTGGTCCTTTTGTCTGGAGCCAAATTGACAGGAGCCTTTTTGTCGTGATCCAAAATGACGCTAGCCTATTTGTCGGGAGTCGTAATGACGGGGGTCGTTTTGTGGAGAAAATAAATGGCGGGAGCCTATTTGTCGGGAGTCGTAATGACGGGGGCCGTTTTGTGGAAAAAACTAAATGACGGGAGCCTATATGTCGGGAGGCTAAATGACGGGAGCCTATTTGTCAGGAGCCTTATTGACTGGAGCCCCTTTGTCGGGAGCCTATATAACGGGAGCCTATTTGTCGGTAGCCTAAATGACGGGAGCCTATTTGTCGGGAGCCTATATGACGGGGTCCATATGTCGCTGACCCTTTTGACGGGACCGATTTGACGGGGTCGTTTTGACGGGGCCGTTTTGTCGGGGTCGTTTTGACGGGGTCGTTTTGTCATTGGCCGTTTTGACGCCCCACGATATATATATATATATATATATATATATATATATATATATATATATATATATATATATATATATATATATATATATATATATATAATATGCTGGGAAAAAACTCCAATTGTGATCCTTTTGGTATCAACAAGGTATTTTGTCAAATAACACCTGAAGTTGTTTGCAGAATTGTTTTATTTTAGCATCGCCATTGTTTATCAATCTGTATGATGGGGATGGCAAAAGACAAAAATCTGAAGAGATTTTGGATTAATCTGCTTGATCATTTGCGGATAAAAATACTCCTTGTTTGTGTCTCTCCACTGCAGTATATTGTGTGACATTCCTGTGTGGGGGTTTCACCTGTATGTTTACATATCATTCCACAGAGTTACAATAACACTGTACACATATTCTGTTGTTTCTTTTAGTGAAGCCGGTTATGAATTTATTTCATGCTAAGTTTCGCATGACGAAGCCATATGCCTCCCCTTAGGTGGCTTGTGTCGGCCATGAATTCATGCTTATTGTATTTCACATGCGTTCTCTTCTGCCCTGCGATTACGTTGAACTAGAACCCTAACCCGATTTTGCATTGTTACCACCACCCCGTCACATGGTTTGGTCCGTTAGCTGATACTATTTGCCGGGGTATGGCACTTGGAGCCACATATGTGAGATTTAGGTGATGGAAGGAGACCAGTGAATGCTTTCATCTAAAGATGCAGCTGGCCGGACATCAAAGGTACTAACCTTCTCCTTAGCCCTATATTTTAACTTTAACCTAAATACAAACAAAAATTACGCTTACTTTGATTTTTGCAATCTGCCCCGCGACGTTTGAAACAGCACTAGATGCTGCATTTATTAGTAAAGTTTCTCCGGCTTTAATTTGACAGATTTCAAAAAGGCCAAAATAAGCACATAACCTGCAATAAGAATAACAACTGCATAATAATAATAAACAAAACCGATGCAGAACTCGCAATATCAAAAGTGTCTGTAAAATGTTTCCAAAGCAAGTAAAAGTACTTAACTGATTAAATTGCTTCCGTTTCGCTTTTTACTCACATAAGCAGACATAATTCACAATAATGAGAACAACGTTAAGCGTAGGATAGAAAATAATATGGATATGGCTCTCTTGTACTTAGATTGATCCTAACTTATATAACTTTATATACATAAATAGAATACATACCCTGGCAATCCCAAAGAGCCTAAAAATAGAGAGACTGGTAACCCCCCTGGCTTGATTATTTTCCGAATAGGTATTTCGTCAGGATTTAATATTGAATGTGTCCTCCATCCTGACTGAGTTACCACTAAAGTTTGTAAGGGATAATCGTCGTGACGACTGTTTATAACACTGGAAAAATATGTATCGGCATTCAGTTTAAAATAAGTTGCATCGTGGTCCATTTAGTTTTTGCCAGATCTAAAACGGCACTTCACAAAACACAACCCAAAGCGGACTGTGATAAAACGAACTTAAAATATTTTTACGATAATATTATAAAAATTGCTTATCACAATAAACTATTGTCTATTTTACGATAAGTGAGTAAATAGGTAAGATCAATATTACACCCGTATGTGAAACAACCATAAGGGTAACAAGTGGTTCTTGATGGATTAAAACCACACACCCACCCTTACCCCAACCCCAACTACCCTCTACCTTGATGAAAAAGTGGATATGAATGCTAACAACCTTGCAATTTGGTCTCCAATCATAGCGGTTCCGATGGGGACGTCGAATATTCTAAAATTAAATTGATATAAATTGTAGATAAAAATGAAACATGTATGAATCAGTTATGTAAAAACAAATATACTCTAAAGAGGATAGACATTTTTAGAAAATTTGTTTTGGGTTGCATTTTGATTCCTCATAAAACAATCGAATATGTTTATCTGTCTCGGTAGTTCGGATTCTCGGGCAGTTGAGGCTCGTTAGTTGGAGACAGCGACCTATTTAGGAAAGAAAACTTCAAAATCAAACTTCTTCCATATAGGTTGTTCTTGGTGGAAAAAACTTATATACGCTAGTCAAGATAAAAAAGCAAGCTGAAATCGGAGTCAACAGACCATATGGCGCATAAAGTGTTGCCACGTAATTTCTTATTTAACTGTGCTGGAGGAAATACCGTTATTTAAGAACAAAGAAGAAGAAGAAAAAGAGAAAATAGAATATCTAGTAAGCGATATAGAAATGTATAGGAATATATGCATATATAAAGAGAAAAGAACAAAAGAATGGTTTCCAAACCAAACTACAGGTGATATTATAATTTAAGATGGATGAGTTAAAAAAAACTAAAGGAAGTTAAAATACTAAACGCAACCAAGATAGGAAATAGCCTACATATTACACTATGGAGGACCGACCCACCAACAGTAGAATAAATACAAACGTGATTTTCTATGAGAAACCACATCACCCCCGGAGAAGACAGAATCACACCAAAGCTTAATTAGATATGTGGGAGAATCACCAGACAGGCAGTAAGGTTGAAACGCCCTAGAAGAACGCAAGAGAAGTCGACGAAGAAACACGCGGCGACCATCTGATGCATCAGCAGTATTTCTGCGTTCTAGGAACAAAGAAGATTTGGGGACACTTCATTGTGGTAAAATTTAATGCAATTAGTGTTTTTTAGACGCTTGACCTCTTTTCGTGGCTTCTATGTTGTGATTGGACGACTGTAACGATGGATGCTCATTGTATCAGAGAATTAGAAAAAAAATATAAGCGCATTATATAGTAAATGGAAACAAAAGTAGATAGTGGACCCCAGGCCAGAGGCGCCCGGGGTGAACTATCATTTTTCCGACCCACCAATGATTTGGAAATGTCGGGGTGCTTTTTACCAGTCACGTTTTCTTGTTTTATTATACTGTCGCACAATTTATGTAGAAAAGTCATAAAAGCACGTAAAGTAGCAGTCTATAGTCTTAACCTCGATTTTGGATATTCAGTAATGCAGCTTAAAATGAGCTTTTAATATATTTTTTCTACCCGGTTAGGATCCCCTCCTCTAGCAATGCTTCTGCCACAGGTGGTAACATCCGGACGCTCAACATACATTACTGCCGCGGCGCCATATGACGACTTGGACTCAATTTAGTTATCAATATTGTAGTAGCCCGCTCATTAAACGAATGTAGGCGCCATATTGCTCCTACCCTCCTTTGACGCCTAACTAGCGGATTCTGGATTCCAAGCCGTTGGAAAAGTCGGGGCGTCCAAACGTGTTCCACTGTCGGTTTGCTGCCGGACGCACTCGTTCAGTTTAGTCATCCGTTACAGTAAGTCACTGTATCGATAGTAAAATATGTCGCTCTCATAACTAATCTAGGCGCCACAACACACATTAATAAGGGGCCTATTTTGCACCGGGTCCGCCGGATAACCCTCCCCCACCCGCTTGGAGCCGTTTAAAAGTTGATTTAAGGAAAACCACAGACCTCCAGTATACCCCCAGTTTATCGACAAAATTGAATTTTATTAATTGAATTCACTTGCTATAAAATTCAACTTACTTTAAGTAATGATCAGCGGTCCAATACAGTGCCTCAATTAAAATTTCTGTGAACAATGTAGTTTTGAATTAATACCACTCAATTGTTTTTTTACAACCACGTACATATAAGTATAATATTTCAACATACTTATGGCTAAATTGTCCAAAATATGGTTTAATAAAGCAAACTGCCCCGATGTAAGGCTGAAATATAATTTCAAGAATAGAGGTTTCATTAAAAGATTTTAATTACGTAAAACTTGAGACATGAAATTTTTTAATTAACAAAAAAATAAACATTTAATTTATTTGTTTTAGAAAACAAAAATGACGTATATGTAAGCGGGTGAAAGAATTATTCCTTTTTATGACGCGAGTCTTGAGAATGGTTGTGAATTTCCTTCTGGTATGGATTCTTCTTTCAGTTAAGGGGTTTACAAGTGACCAGACGATGCTTTATCGTCTTTTATATGTGTTTCCGACTGAGGACGAGGCCGTAGATCACGGTGAACCGAAATTGCAGTGGAGGTATATGTTTATTTATTTATTTTGACTCTGTGGGCGTTCAAATGTTTTATGTTGATATCTGAAAGTTACGTGTAATTAGTTTTTATTAGAAGCTTTTTATTAACTTGCTTCCTCTATCGTCGGTCGTCATTCTGTCGCCATAATAAATCGAAACTGCGGAGCGAAATTTCAAGCTCTGACATATTTGTTTCACAATTAGCACGTGGGTCAAGACCCAATAACAATGCAATCGGACACAGTGGCGTGCAGACCTAAGTAGATGCCCGGGGCAAACTCAAGCGGAAGATGCCCCCATAAATACAACTTATTTGTTTATATATATATATATATATATATATATATATATATATATATATATATATATATATATATATATATATATATATATAAACAAATAAGTTGTATTGGACGTTAATATACATAGAAAAGCATTTTTAAAAAATTGTACTTATCTTAATTAAGATGAAAACGTTGACTACAGCCAGCTAAACCCAAAAGGAATGAATGGTTGGAACTGGGGGGGGGGGGGGGGGGGGGTTGGAAAGGGGGGAGACAATTGCGGGACGTGTCAAAGTGGAGAGGCGGGGGGGCTGTGATGCACTACAAAAGAGTCTCTTCCGGTTTTGTATTACCACCCGGGACCGCAGGGACAAAAACGTTGTCTGTGTCTACAATTAAGGCGTTAGATACGCCTTTATTTATGGGATGTTTCTCTCTTGGCCTGTTTAGGATTTCCTGTAGTGTAACTAATACAGGTGAGAGTGTGCATTGAACTAGAGATGTTTCAGATTTTTTTCCCTAAACCACTTGGTCAAAACGTCAACTCTTCAAAGAGTTGGGTGATGCTAGATACTCTCAAACTATCTTAACCTTGAATATAACAGAAGTGTACCTTGGTTGGCTAAAGCTGCCAGCCCTAAAAAAAAAACACTTCTACATCGGACTGTGTTTAAAAATCCACTATGCTATGTCAGACCCTCCCTACAACTTGGACGTGCCTTCCCAAATTTAACACCCTGGAAACGCCCATCTAGTTCAGGTGGGGGATAATCCACTAACGGCTTCCATGGCCTAAAAACCAACACCGCATCCCCCACATTTCATTACATCATTATGGGTTCAATAACTCTATAGATAGCTCTACTATTAACTGAAATAAAACTGGCTCTGTATGTGCCCCCAATTACTTTAAAGAAAGCTCTACTCAGAGTTAAAATACTTTAACTTTAACACTACTTAAAGCATGCTCCTCCTATTTGTAAAAATCAATATGGGCGCAATTATTCTGAATGATATCATTACAATGTATCGAAAACAATAAGTTGATTCGTATTCTTGAAATTGTCGCTACAGTGTATCAAAAACAATATGGGCATTCTTATTCTTAAGTATGCTTATATAATGCATGAAAATAAATATATACAAATGGCTGCCAGTGGCGTAGCTACCGTAAAGCTAGAGTAAGCAAGGCATAGGGGCCCAAGGCAAATAGGGGCCATTTTCCTTCTTTTAAAAAGTTAAAACTTTTACATTGGAATTTTGATATTTATTTTATATAAATAATTTTTAAAAAATAAATTAATTTTTTTTACTGTAGAAATAATTTAATTTAAAAAAAGGCCCCAAGTCCTTTCTTAGTGTACAGGGAGTGGCATTCAGTGTGGGGGGAGGGCGGGAGACTAAAATTATTTACATTGTTAATTTTTGCATAGGGGCCCGAAAATCCTAGCTACGCGATTGAAGGCTGCCCATACAATTTAACAAAAAAAAAGTTTGGGGGGTTATTACACTACAAATGGCCATATATTTCACCAAAGATGCCCCTAAAATTTATAATAATAATATGGGCATAATTACCATTTGGATGCCCTTAAAATGGATAATAATGAAGAAGTACATTAAAAATAGCTTTAGAGATGCCCCCAATGTTAACAACGATGATTGGTGTAATTACTGTTGCATGTCCTTCGAGTGTAATACATGAATATAAGCATAATTACTTTCAAGATGCCCCTACAATATATAAAATGAAGATGGGCATGCCTACTGTATGGATGCTTTTAAAATGTATTATAAAGTGAAGTGGGCATATTAGTAAATGCTCATAAAATATATTATAATGAATATACGAATAATTACTTTAAAGATGTCCCTACAGTGTATAAAAATAAATATGATTTAATTACTCGACGGATGTCCTTGAAAATGAGTATACCGAATACGCGCATATTATTTTAAAGATGCCCTTACAGTGCATGGGAATATTTTGGTTACAAGTACTCTAAACGATGCCCCTACACTATCTATATATATATATAAAAAGCAATGTATGTCTGTGTGTCTGTGTGTGTGTCTGTCTGTCTGTCTGTGTGTCTTTTATGCATTACCACACCTCTTATCACATCGCCGTGAAACTTTGGGAAGTTGTTGAGAATATTCCTGGGGAGGTTTTCAAATTCGCAGGGCAGGGCGCGATTTGTTTTTCTCTATATACGGTATATAAAAATAAAAGTCTATTTTGATTTCACACTGTTCATCCGATAGCCATGAGACTTTGGGGAGTTCATTATACCACTATAGGGAAGGGTTCTGTAAAAAAATAATTTTTAATTTCGCAAGGGCGGCGCCAGGTGAGGGTCCGATTTTTCTCTATTTACGGTATATAAAAATAAAAGTCTATTTTGATTTCACACTGTTTATCCGATAGGCATGAAACTTTGGGGAGTTGATTAGAACACTCTAGGGAAGGGTTCTGTACAAAAATCATTTTTAATTTCGCAAGGGCGGCGCCACGGGAGGTTGCGATTTTTCTCTATATACGGTATATAAAAATAATAAAAGTGAATTGCCGTGACACCGTTCACACGATCGACATGAAACTTTAGGAAGTTGTTGAGAATATTCATGGGGAGATTTCTGCGAAAAAAAAATATTCCAAATTTGCAGGGGTGGTGCCCCGACACGACGCGATTTGTTTTTTTTCTATATACGGTATATAAAAATAAAAGTCGATTTTGGTTTGGCATCGTTCATCCGATAGCCATGAGACTTTGGGGAGTTTATTATACCACTCTAGGGAAGGGTTCTGTAAAAAAATAATTTTTAATTTCGCAAGGGCACCGCGAGAGGTGAGGGTCCGATTTTTCTCTATTTACGATATATAATAAATAATAAAAGTGAATTGCAGTGACACCGTTTATCCGATAGGCATGAGACTTTGGGGAGTTCATTATAAAACTCTTGGGAAGGGTTCTGTAAAAAATACATTTTTTATTTCGCAAGGGCGGCGCCACGGGAGGGTGCGATTTTTCTCTATATACGGTTTATAAAAATAAGTCGATTTTGGTGTGACACCGTTATCCGATAGCCATTAGACTTTGAGGGAGTTGATTAGAACAATGCAGGGAAGGGTTCTGTAAAAAAAATCCTTTTTTAATTTCGCAAGGGCGGCGCCACGGGCGGCTGCGATTTTTCTCTATATACGCACGCACGCACGCACGCACGCACGCACGCACACACACACACACACACACACATGTTTTTCCGATTCAGGGAGGTGTAAAACGTCGACATTTTCAAAAATCTGGATTTTTTTTTTGCACGATTACAAGACTTTCTCTATACGTATATATGAGAAAGTAAAAATTTAAAGTACCTGGAAAAAAATCATAAAAAACGTTTTAATCACAAGCTTTTAAGTAATAATGCACTAAAAAGTAGAAAATAAATTATAAATAAATAACTATAAAAAAACCGCGGGTCTCTTCCTAAATAGTAGTAAAGGTATGCAATAGATACTAAAGCGTCCCGCTCTTTTCTTTATAATTATTTATATAGTAGTGTAAAATTTATTTTGTACTTTTTGGTGCATCTATATATTACTAAAACTCAAGTTTGTTTACATGTTTGAATATTTATTTATTTATTATTATTTTTTTTTTGTCCGTTTGGTTACAGGAGAGAATCTGCACTATGTGTAGAGCTGTACAATACGTAAATAGGTAGAGAACAATTTTTGTTTTTAGACAGACTGTTAATCACAAATTAATTTAAAGACGTTAATTAATTTATTGATTTATTCATTGGTAGACTAACCAATTAATTATAAAAGTTCAGAACAATGACGTAACTTATAGTGAAAAGTGACGTCACATGATTTATTTACTTTTTACAACAATAATATCGGCTTCCATCGAAGATTTTAGTGCCCATTCCAACGTTTAACGCGTTCTAAATCTAATTTTCTGTCGGCTATAGCTTTAACGATACGTCCGTTTGCTATTTTTATTACGTTCCAACACTTATATCAATTTTGAACAGTCCTTTTCATTTAAGTATACAAATCTAGAATCTAAACTAAAGATAAGATGTCGAAGGAAGTTGTTTATAGCTCTAGAAACAAGATCAAACCAAAATTAATTAGTTAATAATAAAATCCATTTTAAAATCAGAATAAATTCAAGAATACAAGTGATTTATCTATGTAGATTCTAAAGTCTAGTTAGAGTTTAGAGATACGGCAAAAAATCGGCTTAACCAAACAAGTCGTAGAATCTTGATAACTTTATCTAGATCTAGATAATAATGAGTTTCTATACTAAACTATTTGAGACCTTCATTGGTTTATATAAATCTTTGTTTGTTTAGGTATGGAATTGGCTAATTTATGATAAAATTTAATTTGAAAGATACTAGATCTTGGGCCTATTCGCGTAAATCCTTTCTTAAACAGACTCAAACTATTAATATGAAGCACAAAAAGTATCATGACGTCACGAGCCTAGAAAGCTAAGTTGATAAAGTAATGTGCTTTCATGCGGGTGGCATGGGTTCTAGACACATCATGTCAATTTTAATTTGCTTTTCAATTTACGTCTTTTTAAATGTGGGATCTGGTTATTTTGTGGTGATAAGTGACAGACGTGATGTCATTTATGGATGACCCCCGAAACCCACAGTTATCTAACTAGCTAACGGGTAGTCTAGTTATTACTTACAAACTTGTGATTAAAAGTTTGTTATGAATTTCTTTCCATCGCTGACTTAAACTGAAGTTGAGTTATTTATGGTAAAGTGTTAAAAACTGTTGTTTTTTTTCCATTAAGGGGATATGCACGGCAAAAAAAAAATCACAAAATTTCTTCTTTTTCGTCATGATGGGTTGATTGCACTTTTGGATACTTTGTCCATTTTTGTATTAAGAAAATAATAACTTTAAAAAGAGAAAACATTTTTTAGGTGTTTAAATTACCATTTTTATGACCCTATTAATTAAAAAATAATCAATTTTTCCCAATCTTACACGTTCTCTATGAAAAGTTTTATATCCGTCATCATATTGTATTTGGCATCATTGGAAAGCTGGATTTCTCCTTTATTTGATAATCTAAATTTCCATCATCTCGGAAACACCTGAAGCTTACAATTGGCTTTGCAGTTTACACATATATGGCATTTTCATGACCTACTTTTCGTTACTTTTGGCGGTTTTTCTCAGTTCGAAGGTTTTTAACACTAAAAAGCCTACTACTTTGCTATTTATTAAACAATCGCCACCATATTTTCAGTAATTGTTCTTTATGCAAAAATACAACTTTTGTCACGAGGGAAGTGTGATGGCTTTCATAAAAAAAAAGTATTTGGTAATTAATATGCAAATTTTGAAACTTTTAAACACTAAAAATGGTACGATTTTTTAGACTTTGTAAAATTCTTACTCGTAGCTATTTCAAAGAGTTTTCGTGACAAAATTTTTAATATAAATTGAAATATAAGCAGTTTAAATTTGATTGCTATCAGAGTTTCTTCCAGGCATCTCTTCGGGGGGGCTTTCCCCCCCCCCCCCCCCGAAAAATTTTTACCGCACCCCCGAACGAAATGAAATTTATATAATTAATATAGAAAATATATACTTTTAACAGAGTCCGCCCCCCGAAGAAAGTCTACCGCCCCCCCGAAAATTTCAAGTGCCCCCCCGGAGAAAAAAGTCTGGAAGAAACACTGCTATAGGTGCATAAATAAAAAAGCCTTAGCATTTTTAAAAGTACCAAAAAATTCAAAATGGCGGATGTTTTTTTTTTTTTTGGTTTCCGTGACAACGAAAATTGTTTTTAACCCTTTTTTGCTGTTTAATAATTACTTTCATATGCCAAACATGATAAAAGTATTCAAAAGGCTTTAGATATTAAATTGTAAAAAAATAGGAAAAAACCGCGCATATCCCTTAATTGCTATAATATTCAGTCAATGCAGCAAGGATTTAAAGTTATTGGACTGTTAGTGGCACAGAAAGCAAACTTCAATATTGCATTTTTCCCAGGGTTTAAAAATATAGGCTATTTATTTTCTATAATAAAAATGTCTGTATAGACTACTTGTTTTGTTATTTTATATAACAACGCACAAAACAAATTACCTTTAGGTTTCAGATTTGTTGATAAATCTTCTTTCATTTTTCGGAAATCACTTCTTTTTGGTACTCCAACAAATGGTTTTGACTTTATCCAGGTCATACAAGTTCTATAAGTTCATTTCAGTTTTATTGAATGTATTATTTCTCTTGAAAATTAAAGGTTTTTTAAACATTGCAATGCATCGTAATGGTTATTTTTAGAATGACAAACTGATACAGCTGTTAATACTTGTTGCAAATGTAAACTCTGCTAGTCTATTACTATTATGCTTAAATGCTGCATGAAAATAAATCTTGTGATTTACATAGATGTGCCGACCAAAAATAATTTTTCAAACAAATATCAATGTTTAAAACTTTGAGTTTAAAAATTTCCAAAAAGGCGCCACTATGCTGAAAATGGCCATAGGGGGAGCGGCCGCTCCCCCTGCCCCCCCCCCCCCCCTGTGTACGCTATTGATTCAGTGGTAGAATTGATACCGTCGAATTCACAAATTATGAATTACTGAAAAGTAGAAAATAAAACAACTAAATAGCGGCATATGATACGCTGCGGGTCGGCTCGTTCTAACTATTCTAACTAACAGGTTAACAAATGAGATTTCTGAATTTATATTATATAGAACATTTTAAAGCTCTTTTCGTGGATTGGATTTTTAAAAAAAACAACATAAAACGTTTTTTACGCATCCTCTGGATATATTAAAAAGAAAGACAGGCCTGTAGCTTTCAGGACCCCATCAGTACACAACAGGTGGTTTATTACTAAAACGGAGGTACGGATGCTTTTTAAACGGACGCAGCAGTAAATAGTCACGAATGGTTTATAAGTTTCTAAAATATTTTTAAAATCGTGTGAGCTGCTTTTAAAATAAATGTGGTTAAAAAACTAGATTGTGAGGTTTTTGTCGGACTTTACTTATTACTTGATGTATTTCATGGTTTTTATATTTTTTCGTCACTAAACAATCTTTGTCTTACGAAAGTGAGACTTCGGTTAATAATTAAGTTATCATAAAAATAAAATAAATAAAGCATTAAATGCACACACAAAATGTTTCAAGATATCTGCATTGGCAACTTCATAGCATTGATTTTCAGGCTTTAGGGTTTTATTTCTATGCTGTTTGTTTCACCGCTATAATGGAAAAAATAAAAATTTATTCTTGTCAAAAACAATTTTGAAACCCATCTCGTAAAAACAGGCGGCCTCCGTTAATAAATTGTCTAAACAAATTCATTAAAAACTTTTTAATAAAACGTTTTTAGATAAGTATACACTAAAAATGCTATTAAAACAAATTTAAAGAAAAATGTGGGTCGGTTACTAATTTCTAGTTAAGGTATTCAATAGATACTAAATTAAAAATAATGTGACAAAAGCACTAAGCACGAGAAAAGTTAAATAAAAGATTGTAAATAAACCGGGAGTGATCTCCCCTAAACTTTCTCAAATATTCTAATATAAAACTACGAGGGATGGTAACTCAGGACATAGACAATATTTGTAATCCATTTTTAATTATTAAAACTTTTTATAATAGAATGGAATCTCGTAAAAAAAAGAATTGCACACCAAGTGAACGCCTAATAAAATGAGCATAATAGTGCGGGATATTATTAGTACTTTATAAATTTACGTGCGTTTTTTGAGAAATCGGAAATAGCGTAAATTAGTAATTCCGGTTTACGAAAATTACTCAAAATTTGACAGAAGGTCGAGAATTAGATCGTTTACTTACATGTGAAATTTCATTTATCTATCTGAAATAGTACTCAAGTTATAGGTTTTTTTAAAATTCAAGTAGAAAAAGTACCACTTCCGTTTATCGAAAATCACTCAAAAGTTGATCAGGATCTACGATTTTGATAAAATACTTATATTTGAAATTTCATCAACCTAGCTGTAACGGTATTCAAGTTATCGTGTTTACACACAAACACACACAGAGACATACGGACAAGATTGCAAAATTATGTTTTTCCGTATCAGTGAGGTGTAAAACGTCGAGATTTGTAAAAATCTGGATTTTTTTTTTTGCACGATTACAAGACTTTCTCTATACTTATATACGAGAAAGTAAAAAGAGTCGTCAATATAGGGTCGTCCATAAATGACGTCAGACACCTGGGGGGGGGGGGGGGGAGGGTTCAGACTTTTGTGACGATGTGTGACGAGGGGGGAGGGGGGTAGAGACAGTGTGACGTCACGTTGTCTTAATTCCAAGAATTGATTAATATGCATTTTTTTTTAGTTTTTAGAAAAATAAACTTACTACATACTAAATAATTTTTTACATTGGTTGCGATACTTCTAACAAAATGTATACTATTGTAAAAGTTGTCAAAAGATTGTGAAATATATCGTTGTTCTAATTAAATTGCCCTGTTATTTGACGATGTATGTTGTGTAGTAGACTGCCGTATTTGCAAATTTGTCAATAGTGTTATTTGACTAAAGGTCGGAAGCATATCAACTAGTGAGGGTACGGCAGGGGTACCAGTGTAATGCTTGCTATTCTTTGAAGTTTACAGAATAGGGCAGTCATAATAAAAATTTAAACCCCGTTTCCAGAATATTTTATTTAAAAGCTATTTATACTTTGGGCTGCGACTCTTGCCCTTGATGACACCCCTTGTCTCCCTTACATCGTGGTGTTCATGACGGTAGCTCATGCTTGTTGAACGATCTAGAGGAAAAATAACTTGTACGATCAGTTCCAATGTCGAGATCATGTGATTTTTGTAGGTGCGGCAATTAAGTAATTTTTCAAATTCAAGTCCATGACTAAGTGCTGTGGATGAGGAATGTTTACCAGATCTGATAGATATGTATGTTGGGCCGGATTATCAAACAGCTTCTCGATTTCCCAAGGCGTTGGGCTGAATTTTTATCCCGGCATAAACTGAAGGGATCATGGATGATAAATGTTGCTCTAACACAAGAAGCTCGTATTTCAGCTTAATAACTGATATATTTCTTCCTCCACCTTTACCAGTCTCCCAAACAAGCTGTGGACTAACAATACCTGAGCGTTCAACAGATGGCTCTTCACATAAATTTCCATCTCTTTTTGCTGCTCAAAGTATAAAAGTGGATGAAATCCTCCCCCGCTCTTCAAATCCTTATCACACAATCCCTTATGATTTGTATTGTCCGTCTGTTCAATCGGCGACAGGGTTTGTCGTCATTGGTTATGCTGCGTAATCATTCCTTAACTCACACACAGGAATCATCAATTGTGCCATTACAGCGCATCAGTCCTATGAGAGTTGCTGCACGTCGCCAACGTGAACTGATAGTGACAATTGCCAATGAAATTAATAGTGAGAGTGTAGAATGGATAGAAGAGGAAGACCTTGATGTAAAGGGAATTCCCATTCCATACGGGGGAAAAAATCAATTCCGTCCCCGTGTATTAAATGAAGGAACATTTTAATTCTCCATGGGAGAATGAATAAGCTTAAACATCACAACTTTGTATTGAGGATTGCCATATTAATACTTTTGTATGTAGTTTTTTAAATACTTCGGTTAATGATCTTGCTAAAATTTAGAAATATGAATGTATATAGATATGGTCGGTTAAGTATAACCTGTTACTGATATTATTATTTAATCGTTTTTAATAAAATTTCTATAAAATGTGCTTAGATTTATGGCAGTGTGAGAATATTTCTTGTCATTTTTCAACATCTTCGCTAACAGTAAAACACGCAATTTAATACTCTAGTGGAGAGTCTTTACTATCAAAAATCTATTACACGACAAAAATGGACCGTTGAGGAAGGATACAACGGGCGCTAGGTTGATAGTGCTGTCTCTTTTCTTTAAACAAAAATTAAACGCAACCAACTTTACCTCAAATTGAATATGAAACGAAAAATGACATTAAAAACGGATTTTTATCAAGAATCAAGATTTTAATCGGATTTAAGCTTGATCTACACTCACGTAGTTATCGCGCATTTATACAAAATATAGTCATATCCCTTAACCATGCACGTAATCCCATTCATGACAAAAGTAGCATTTAGAGTTTCTTTCAGGCAACTCTACTTGGGATAAGGGGGCTCCGCTTCCCTCCTACACACACCCCGTCCCATTCAACGAAACATAATTATATACTTTTTTCCATTGTCCCAGAAAATTCCACCCAGAAAAATAATTCTTGTGTACACATATCTCCAACAATTTTCAATATACTTGTACTAAATTTTGCACACACTTAACTGAAAGTTGGAAGAACAAATTGAACTAAAATAACAGCTGTATCTATTATAGATTTTTTTTAAACAATTTTTCCCTGAACCCAACACTTGTTAATTTTCAGCCCTTTGACTAAAATGTAAAAAAAAAAAAAAATTGATATGCCAACTTAATTTTTTTTAGTTCATTATATTCTTAAGGGAATAAATAATGTTGGTGCAAAGTTTTATTTGAATATCTTCGTTAGTTTTTGTTATACTCTGTACAAGAGCAAGTCTGTTTTTCATCAAATTTCAAGACTTAATTTATTTTAAATGAATGTATACAATACTTGCGAGCAAAAATTGGCTTTTCTTGTGATTTTGTCCCCACCCTACATTATTTAAGCTAGGTAAGTAAGTCTAATTACTAAAAATCAATTAGGGGGTTTAAGCTGTCCATTTTTTCATATTATACTCAATATATTGCTATTCTTACGTGTGTCGTCATGTCTACAAGAAATACCTACATTTACATTAAGTATTTTAAAATAATTTAATCCTTTCAACTTTAACATTACCTCACTGTATTACTGTTTACCTGCTGGTGCCACGAATGGGTCCTGCACGCTCATTATTAATGCTGTGTCAACGAGCGGTAATTTTAAAGGGATGAAAACACAGCAAATTTAAAACATAGAATAAATTGTAAATTAGGGGGGGGGGGGGGAGTGTGACTTCATTTTAGGGGGGGGGGGGTCTGACATTTTGTGATGATGTGTGATGTGGTGGGGAGGGGTAAAAATTGGCTGAAAAGCGTGACGTCATTTATGGACGACCCCTATGACATTACCGAGTTGACGAGAATCTTTCCATCATTATTGTTAACATGGATTTAAAAAAACGTGTTTTTTTATAAATTTTGCAATCAAAGCGACAGTAAAAATAATTTTAAAAAATAAAACTTAAGCCTAAAAATAATTCAGAAATTTGATATTTTTAGAATCAACGATTATAGAAGTTGCAAATCCAGAGAACTGAAAAATAATTTATTTTCATTTTTCTATTTTAATCAAGCTTAAGTTTTAACCTGAAGCTTCACTTTCGTAATGCAAAAATTGATTGGCTGTAATGAATTCCGTAACCGCTATTCTAGAAACCTCACTTCAGAAACAAAAATAAATAAATAAATAAAGCTGGAGTGATCTCCCCTAAACTTTCATGAATATTCTTATATAACCCTACGGGTGATAGCAACTCGGAATATAGACATGCTTTTAATCCATTTTTACATACTTAAACTTTTTAAAATACAATAGAATATCGTAGAAAAAAAACAATTGGCGCATCAACTTAACATCAAACAATGCGTGTATAATTGTGGGGAATATTAGTACTTTATAAATTCATTTGCGTTTTTTTTTAGAAATCAGAAACAGCGTAAAGTACTACTTCCGGTCACCGGAGATTTCTCAAGATTTGAAAGAAAACTGAGAATTAGATCTTTTACTTATATATGAAATATACTCTATCTATCTGAAATATAAATCAATAGAATAAGTTCCACTTCTGGTAACCGGAAATTGCTCAAAAGTTGATACAGAACTTCAAATTTGATGTTATTCTTGTATATGAAATTTCATCAACCTAGATTTAACAGTCAAGTTCATATATATATATATATATATATATATATATATATATATATATATATATATATATATATATATATATACTTTTTAAGACTTAAATTGTTATTGACTTCATGTTTTTAAATTTTCCGAAATACTAAAAACATCAATTTATCCAATCCGACAAAAAATAAACAGTCCAATTTTTAAACCATATTTATTTTAACACCGTAGGCTACAAGATTTTAAAAATATTCAATGAGCTTTTCTAATAAATTTGAGCTTCCGCTACAGCAGTAATGATAATAAACTTCTAAATATAACTGGATATTAATTATTTCTTTAATAAAAGTAATTAGATCTAGATCTATATTATTGTAGCAATTGAGTGTATGAAAACATTATTAAAAGCTAGTAATACTTACACCATTATTTAAAAAGTCAGCTTTAAAACTATTTTTAATGGATGATCAAGTAATACATAAACTTAAATTTAATAGCATACTACTAGTGCTATGTAGAGCTATACAAATGAGCGATTTGGAATTTCTTTAGCGGATATGACGCTAAGAATTATTTTTAAATTGCGAATGGTCACTGTTTACTTAGAGCGTAACTTAAATACATTGTAGGCCTACATCGATATTAAGTTTAATTGAGGCGGCCGTGAATAGTCTCTTAATGGGGTATAAAATATTTTATAAAAAAACCTGGTTAGATGTTATGTGGTTATATAAACATGAGTGTTTCAAACAAGTTATTGTAAAGATGGAATGGATTTGATGTTTAAATATCGGAGTATCTGCGGTAATGGACACAAGCGAGAAAAGTCTCAAAGGTATTTGAGAGGTGCATAAATTAATTTAAAAATCTTGCACGGCGTAGTTACAATTAATATGGTTATAAAATCCTGTCTGTCTGGTTTTTTTCGGACTTTACTAAAGATTGGACGTATTTGTTGTTTTTAATATTTTCGGTAACTAAATAAAAATTTAAAAAAAAAGCAAAAACAATTTGGTTTTCACGTGTAATGGCGACATAAACAATGGCATCCTGCTATTGGATAGGCCGACATAAATTTTATTGTACACATTGTAAGCTAAAAATAGAAAACTAGGTCATGGGGTTTTAAATTTGCATTGTTATTTAAAAACTTGATCTGCAAAGTTTTGTAAACAAATAGTTATCGATCACTAAGTTACTGTACAGCCAATCAATATTTGTCTTACGAAAGTGAAACATCCGGTTATAACTTAGGCTTGATGAAAATAAATAGAAATTTAGCCTTAAACTCAACAAATTATTTTCAAGTTCTCTGGATTTGCAACTTTTATAGCATTTATTCTAAAAACATAAAATTTCTAAATTAATTTTAGGCTTAAGTTTTTATTTTTTATTTTTTTTACGGTCTAAATCTAAAAAGCACGTTTTTATTCCATGTCAACAATACTATGGAAGGAATCTCGTCAACACAATTTTTTTTTAATTCATAAAAAAAACTTTTTTTAACAAGCTTTTATGTAGAAATGCACTAAAAAGTAGAAAATAAATGTTTTTCGTTAAATATATCATAACACACTACTGTTTTAATAACTATAAAGAAAAGCGTGGGTCACTTTATTATCTACTAGCCGTCCCGGCCAGGCCCTGCTCTGGCTTCTGTGAAAAACCTTTCTGTTAAAGACCATTACCTGTGTGTTTAGTAATCATCATAAACCCGGCATTGCCCACCCAAACCACAACCAACCAAAACAACAAAACGCAAACATAACGCTAACACAATTACAAATACAAACGAAAACAAAAACCTAACAACAAACCCAACCACAACCACAAACACCAATACAAACACAAAGAAAAAACAAACAAAGAAGCAAACGAAAACAAAAACATAATAATAAACCCAACCACAACCACAAACACCAATACGAACACAAAGAAAAAAAAAACGAAAAAGCAAACGAAAACAAACCAAATCCAAACACAAAACCAACCACAAACACAAACACAGACCCAAAGAAAAAACACAAACGAAAAAGCAAACGAAAACAAACCAAATCCAAACGCAAAACCAACAACAAATACAAACACAAACCCAAAGAAAAAACACAAACGAAAAAAGAAAGAACAAAAACGAACCAAATCAAATTCAAAACGCAACCACTAACGCAAACCCAACCTAAACACAAAGAAAACACAAACGCGCACATAAACGCAAAGTGCTCACAGTCTAGCCCGGGGCAGAATCGCCTGTTTCAGCTTAATAAACGACTATAGTACCCCAACTTATTCATAGTCTTTTGCACTCACTTAAACGAACGTAGGTGCCAAACCAAACCAAATGAACAATTATCCGTAAAATACCTACAACATTTGCACTTGATAAATCCCCGCTAATTATGTAATTATTTTTTTCCCAACACCAAAAACAAAGTAATAAAAAGTAAATTCTTGTCCACTAATGTTTTATAAAGGGAAGTAATTGTGTTTTCCTAATTTATCAAAGGGAAGTAAGTGCTAAAAGGACTAAATATAAATAATTTTCAGACTTAATTAGAGTTTTTGTAAAAGATGATATTTTTTAAAAATTGTTTTTAATGATCATGCCGACAATTATTAGTGTCAGTTTGAAAAATGAAAATTATTTCCCAACACTTTCAATAGTAATTTTTTAACTCAGATTAAATGTAGACTATGAGCACGATAATAATCTAACACTTAAATCCATCCAAGTATCCACGACAAACTAATTTATTTTTACATACAGAATTAAGCTTTACATATTAGCTTGAATACCTTTACTAATATTTTGGAAGAGACCCACGCTTTTTTAAATAGTTATTTAAAGCGTAGTGTTATATTTAACGAAAATCGTTTATTTTCTACTTTTTAATGAATTATTACATAAAAGCTTGTTATTAAAACGTTTTTCGTGAATTGTTTTTCAGCATTTTTTAAATTTAAATAGAGTTGCATGACTAAAAACTATTGCGTACCTAATAAACATGATAACGCGCGTATAACAGTGCGGAATTGTTGGATAAGACAGGCTACTAATTTGGACAACATTTTAATTAATTCATATAAAATTAATTAGGCATCCCATGTGCCAACTTTGAAACGAATCTGTCAGTTAGAAGTCCCCGAAATTTCGCTCGGGCGTTACGATCTAGACAGACTTAAAGAAAGCAAGTTAAATAAAAAACTTGTAAAAATTAATTTAAAAAAACAAAAACAGAAAAAAAAAACGTTTGGATAACAAGCTTTTATGTAATAACAAGTTAATAAAAAGCCTAGTGACAATTTAAGCGCAATTTCCTTATGTTATTCATAACAATTTTAAATCGAGATAAATCATATATTCAGCAAATAAATAATGCAACACAAGTAGTTTTAATAATTCAAAACAAAATAGAAAAAAAAAATTTATTGACCCAATAACTAAAGTAATTATAATTTTAAAACATTATCTATCCAGAGCTATCAGGAATGAAACCTTCCATGGAAGACATGTTTGTTTGGCCAAAGAACCTTGAGGTCAAATAATAGTCTAAAAATAGATAGTGATCAAGTTTGTTTTTAAACTAGCTCCTCCTCCTTCGCTTGCGGCTCGCGGAGTTCGCTGCTAAGCCAGCCAGGTCACATGATTTACCCTCGTCCTCCTTCGCCTTCCACTGCCGATTTTGCTATATAGTACTGTAATGTATTATGTATAATGTAATTTTTTAAATTTTTTTTTGATCGAACGAAAGGATATGTTTGAAAACTTTCTTCGGCAATATTGTTCTAAATTATGGCAGGAATCGATTGGTAAATGTTTCAAGTCGCTAAATCGTCTGGTTGCCGAGATATGGGCCAAAAACTGCATTTTTTTTCGAGGTTTTTTGGCTTTTCCGGGAATTCCAGGAAGGAATTCCGGGAATTTTTTTGGCCCACAATCATCCTCGGAACTTGCTTAACATATTTGCTTTTGGAACTAGTCCTAGATATTGCTTCGTTGAGGAGGAGATACGACTTAAAACTGCAGTAAAGCTGCGGACACACATCCATTCATTGCGGACCCACATCCATCCATCCAGAAATAACGAGTTAATAATCGCAATTGTCCGTATGGAAATTTCGCTAAAAAGTAAGCAAAAACATACGTCATTCGGTCCATTTTCAAGGGAGGTAACCTTTTTAAATAATTATTTTTTCAAATATTTGTATGCTATTTTAAACAGAAACAGAAAACGACAAAGAAAACGACATTCGTTTAAAAAAAAAACATAAGTCGTTAATTAAGCTACGTATCATGATAGAATAAAAAATAATTTTAAAAGTCAATGTAATATAAATTATGAGATATACTGTTCTCGGAACCTCTGTAGTTCTAATTCCATTTTAGTTATAAATTGCGTACTTTCAAATTGTCTCTCTGAAAGCGGGTGTTAAACAACATACAACATCTTCTCTAAAATTAGCATTACTGTTTAAATTTAAGCACTCCACACCACATCCATCACCAAATAATTAGTATTCAAATTCAAATTATCAAACTTTTTTGAAAACCTAAGCGAAGCTAGGCAGTATGCCTAGTATATATATATATATATATATATATATATATATATATATATATATATATATATATATATGTAAGGGGGGGGGGGATACCTAAAATCTACCCTTCTAGGCTTATCTATTACCGTCCGGTCAGTGCAAGTCCGGCTAAACCCAAACTGGTTAATAACCTAACCTTGGTCTAAATAATAAAAACAAAAAGCTTTTAACAATTAATTAAATTTATTACATGGAACCAATCGAATAAGATCAAATAAAATGGATAGATAGAAATATTACTGACACACATCCGAACAATTTACACAAAATCAAACAGTACGCCATGAAACTTTGGGGAGATGTTGAGAATATTCCTGGGGAGGTTTCTGCGCTAAAAACATTTTCAAATTCGAAGGTGTGGCGCCCCGGCAGGGTGCGATTTGTTTTCTCTATATATATGGTATATTAAAATAAAAGTCGATTGCGGTCTCACAACGTTCATCCGATAGCCATCAAACTTCAGGGGCTTGATTAGAACACTCCAGGGAAGGTTTCTGTAAAAAAATCTTTTTTTTTTTTTATTTCGCAAGGGCGGCGCCACGGGATGGTTGGATTTTTCTCTATTTACGGTATATGAAAATAAAAGACGATTGCGGTTCGACACAGTTTATCCCGGTGCCATAAAACTTTAGGGAGTTGATGAATACTCCCGAGGTTTCTGGGGTGGGAGGGGGGAAAAGGGATGTGTGGGTGGTGGTGGAGGGGAATTTAATTTTGCATGGAAAGCCCCCCGGCAGGATGCGATTTGGCGCCCTGATCTTTCCCGTGAGCGCTATGGTGACTACGTTCGGTCTAAACGGTGTGATAGACAATGGAGAGGATGGGGCGTTACAAGCGCTCACTAAATTGAATCAGGCGTGTCCTGTGGCGCCCTGGTAGGGTGCGATTAGGCTGCAAATAAAA